ATAGTGCTGATTTTTATGGCTGAAAACTAGTTGTTTTAGTGAATTTATGCAAAATTATTACTTGCTGAATTTTTAATGGAGTTTAGATGCAAAATAACAGGTTGTCTTATAATTAAGATGCTAAGCAAGTTATCGTTGTTTGTTCATCCGATTATGTGCTATGTATATTACTAAATGATCTTTTGCAGGTGTATGTTGTCTGTTAAGTTGAAAATGTGACATCTCTGATGCGCTCAGATTTTGTGAGTGTGACGACCGTCACAGCTCCATGGCGCTCGTCATGACCATCACTATCATGACAGTTCAATGACGATCGTCATGACCATCACGGTCGTGACAGTTCCATTACGATCGTCATTTAGCTCTATTTGGTGCACTCTGATTGTTTATTCCTTATTTATCTGTTTGGTTAGAATGGGGTGTTACACAAACCACATCGTATTGGAAGAGGTTTGACTCTAATACCATTTGTGGAGTTCTTATGAAATGGGCTACCGAAAAGAAGAAGCGTCTTGTTGGTATAGATAGTGCCAATTAATCCTTATAAGCCTTCATTCAACAATGTAGTCTCATACCTGCACAACCTCAGGATCTCTTTCATTTCGATGTGAATTCATTTTTTCCTATAAGCTTCTAGGAGTATCTCATTGTCATGCCTCGTGCACTGGCAACCACTCCCTTGTCCTCGAGTATAACATGTAATTACTCTCTGTTCTCTTTGGCCTCAGATGTCACATGCCCACTAACTTTTGCTTGGTTCACCCCTAAACCATATCGTATTGGAAGAGGTTGGCTCTGATACCATTTGTAATGCCTCGGACTACTTTAAGGATTACTGACTGACCCCGCAAATCAAGTATGTAATCCCATACCTACACAACCTCAGGATCCCTCTCATTTTGATGTGAATTCATTTTTTTTACTAGAAGCTTCTAGGAGCATCTCATTATCATGCCTCCTGCACTGGCAACCACTCATTCGTCCTTGGGTAATACATGTAACCACTCTCTGTCCTCTTCGGCCTCAGGTGTTACATGCCCACTAGCTTCCGCTCGGTTCATCCCCAAATCATATAGTATTGGAAGAGGTTTGACTCTAATACCACTTGTGGAGTTCTTATGGAATGGGCTACCGAAAAGAAGAAGCATCTTGTTGGTATAGGTAGTACCAATTAATCCTTATAAGCTTTCGTTCAACCATGTATTCTCATACCTGCACAACCTCATGATCCTTCTCATTACGATTTGAATTCTATTATTTCCTAGAAGCTGCTAGGAGTGTCTGACTGTCATGCCTCGTGCACTAGAAACAACTCCCTCATCCTCGGGTGTTACATGTAACCACTCTCCATCTTCTTCGGCCTCAGGCGTCACATGCACACCAGCTTCTGCTTGGTTCGTCTCTAAACCACATTGTAGTGGAAGAGGTTTAGCTCTGATACCATTTGTAACGCCTCGGGCTACTTTAAGAATTACTGATTGACCCCACAAATTAACACGAGTCTTTTCAGCTTGCTTTATCCTCACTCACACGCTTTTCAAAAAAATTTCCAAAAGGTCACCCATCCCAATACTACTCCAAGTCAAACACGCTTAACTATGGAGTTCTTATTGGTTCGACTACTGAAAAATCTATGCATCTTGTTGGTATATGTAGTACCAATTGATCCTTATATGCCTTCATTCAACCATGCAGTCTCATACCTACACAACCTCATGATTTCTCTCATTCCGACATGAACTCATTTTTTCCCTAAAATTTTCTAGGAGTGCCTCATTGTCATGCCTCGTGCACCGACAACCACTCCCTCACCCTTAGGTGTTACATGTAACCATTCTCTGCCCTCTTCGGTCTTGGGTGTTACATGTGTGGCTCCATAGAGCATATGCTATGAGAGCATACTTATTATATTAGTCTAGCACTGCAATTTTTATGGAGAAGAGTGCCACTTATGTGGATGTCGTCTACCTACAATACTTTGAGGACTTTAAGAGGACCCATGAGTACAATTAGGGGAAGTCGTTTTGTGTACTTGTTTGTGTATCATTTTCATTACATTTTTCCAACGCCCTTATTGATGATTCGTGTGTTCTAAACATTTCAGGCTTGGATCCTCCCGCGCATCTCTAGCTGGTCATGTGTACTAACTTATATTCAGGATATGTCGCACGCTTATGCATTTTCCCACTCAAAGGGAATCGGGCGATAGATTCGTTCAAAGTGTATCTTAATCACTTAGTTATCGAGGATATGCACTTTAACAGCCATGTCAATCACTGTGAGATGCGGCTATTTGATGACATAATGTTATATTTAAGATGATTAGTTTACGTTTCATGTCTGACATTTTCTCATCTACCTGAGCGCGTCATACGGTAGTTCAGCTACACTCATATTATTTCTAGACACCCTGTTATCTTTGTTCTTCCTGCTATGACACATAGAGATATGAATGTCATGTTTGATGATTATCTTATTCATCTGATACCAGAGAAGGCATGGAGTACCATAGCTGAGAGCGACTAGAGCTATGTCGGCGGGTACATCAGGTGGTTCTTCCATGTATCACATTTGTATATGGTGTAGGCTACTCTAGGAGATTCACCGAAGCCAACTTATCAGGAGATATTAGAGGATTAGCAAACACATTTAGATAATGCTCATGATGTCTTGCCTAGAAGTCGTCGCATTTTAGATATTGCGTAGGTAGACATTGAAATATATATCTTCCCTAATAGATCTGAGGTGAGGCAGGTCCTAGATTCTATTATGAAGGATGCATGAAAGGCACTAATGTACCGGAGACAACGTCAGAGGACGGGGGGTAGAGGAGGCTAAAGAGGCAAGGAGCTGTAGTCCAACATACGCAATAGTATATAGTATTTGTACTTTGGATTTATTATCAATTGTATTTTACTTTGACTTATTTCTACTTTATTGTGTATTGATTGATGACTTATTTTGACCATCTGAATTTATATATGTCATTGTTTGCATATCAATTGTATGGTTTAATGCTCATCACATAACAGAGTCCTTAACATTTATAATTCGTCATTTTTATCTGAATAACCATAAAACTAACATAACATGCACTATTCTGATAGGTTACAAAGATGCATCTCCGTAAATCTTAAATGGAGATGCATGTCCAGAATAATAAATGTGTAAAATGGACCTTTCTGAGAGGGGTGCATGAGGTATGTATTAAAATATTTCGGATATGCATTTCCGAATCAGTTAACGTTTTGACTTAAGATAATGTGCGTTCGAAGATGCATCTCTGCAATCTGAGAGTTATTTTAGGTTTTTCATAGGGTATTTTTCCACCCGATAAAAAATTTCCTTAAAAAATCATGATTTTATTTTGATATTTTATTATGATTATAGTATGTTTAGATTGGACCGACATAACTTTCCTTTATATGAATCTAATTATAATATGTTTAAATCTACAAAAAAAAAAAAAAAAAAAAAAAAAAAAGGTACTATTACAAAGATTTATTTTTAACTCTCATCAACTTAGAGCACCATTATGGTGCCATATCAGCTTTCCCTCGCCACTTCCTAGACATTTATGTCTGGGTTGTATGGATAACTCATGTTTCATGTTTAACGCACGATCATTAACTTGCAAATGTTTATGTAATAAAGAGTGTTGCTTTTCATTTTAGTTCGATAAAAATGTCTATTTAATTAACTTGTGAGATATAAAGTGAGTTTAATATGACTCATTTTATAGTTTTGATGAGTTATATGGATATTTTGAAAATTATATGTGTTGCTTAAGTAATTGAAAAATATGAAATATTATTAGAAAAAATTGATGAGATCCATTTAAAAAACCAAAATGAATACTTTGGTTATGGATGCTCTTATGATGTAAACTTAAAAACTCTTGATTCAAATAATGTTGTTTATAATCGCGAGATCATCTAACTAGGTGTTTGACTCAATTTTGAAAAAAAGATGTTGATTGCAAACCTATACAACTAAGAGTTCGACTCAACTTTAAGACAATAAATTGACTCAACCATGAATCACATAACGAATTCATGGGAGCACTCTTATTCTCCACCTCCTTTTTATGATTATGCTCAATTCCGTCTTTATTATTTTGCAGCTTGCCTTAACCATTGTACACATTGCAGCAGGTCAGATTGGTAAAATCAAATGGGAATTGAAATTAATCATGAGAAATGTGTTTTATTATATATTTTATTTAATTCTCTAGTCATACTAATGTTGTATGTTTCCTATTTAATAGAGGTTTCATGTTGGATTTTAATCGGAGAACGACAAACTGTTGTCATCAGATCCAGCTATGTTCAAGTATTATTAAAGTAGGATATGGATTTTTTTCGATACATATGAGATTGTAAATCAAGTATTTAATGTTGTGCTGCTCATCGAGTCTGCACTTAGCAAAAAAGTATGTCTTGATTCAAGCATGTGTAAATTCTCAAGTATATGAAGAGACACAATGGAGAAATCTTCTTGAGATGGGGAATGGATATGGGAATGTGTTTTAAAGGTTTCAAATAATAACATGTAAAATGAAGTATTTTAATGGAATATTTAATCCCATTTGTGATATTGTCAAAATATCTTTCAACTTATTCAAAAACTATTGTTCACATTCTTTTCTCTGTTCATCGCAGGAATAACTCTCCAGCCACAATTGCTCTATCTGGAATGCAATATGCGAGCAGATATGACGATTCGGTAGACATGCCAAATTTTTGTTTACCAGCAACGCAATCCTTTTAGTGTCAAAGGTCCACAAGATTTCAGTGGAACACAATCATATTGCAGTTAAGTGTACACAATCAATTTATTGGAACCTAAATTAAGTAGAGATGCAAACGACAGCATAGAATACCGCAATGTCATAGATTCGGGTGATTTCATAACCCACCATAGATGATCATGAACCAGTAATACAAGTGAACTCTTCACATTGTTACCTATGATACAATTAGTGAAACTCTGCTAAGATTTCATGAGAATAAGGACCGACTTTTATTACGTTCCAATCTTGCCTCCCTCTGTCAAAACAAGGAAATAGAATTGAGTCAAAATATTTCATGTGGGCATTATTGAGCAATGATAGTACAATAAGAACAATTCTAAAGTTAATATTTGATCTGTTTCAAAGTATATTGAACCAAACACACAACAATATGATTTAAAGTGTCAAATTGAAGCTATACAAGTCTGATCCTAAACACAACTAGAAAGTTGTCAGAAAATTAAAAAGTAATCCAGTTTACATCGACATTAGACTATCACGCCGTTCATTGTTTTACCAAGGAACATGTTGATCGAACAGCTATTCTCAATTAGTTGTTTGTTATTGAGCTAGATCAGACAGTTGCAACAGCACAGTTACACTTAACTTACACTACCCAAGGGTCTATGAATTTTAAGTCTCTGATGAGTAAAAATTAAGAGTACGAATAAGTAGTGTATAATGCAGATGGTTTGGATGACACAAACTTCGGGGAGTGTAATTGAAAGTGAGAGGTTACACAGGACAAAAGTGAAACAAAGGTTTACATACATTCTTATAGCAACTGAAAATATCGTAATTATTAGAAATGGTATTGTAGGCAAAATTTCATTAAGAAAGCAGTGTAGTCAATCCGAAATAGCGGCGCAGAGAAGGGTAGAGAGACAGAAACTGCTCCGGGCCAGGAACCGCTCTGCCCCTGCTACCCACTATTTACCCTATAGCAGCCGCTAAATGTTTTGCACATCTAAGACTCTTCCCATAATGGCCTGCCTCCGCTCCGTTATAGCGGGATAGGGCCGCTTTTGACTACTCTGAAAGAAAGTTCAAGAGAAGAACCCTCCCTCATTAACAATAGCTTGTATTCAATGCCTCATGTACACCAAGATGCCCTCTCCATGATACCTGTATACAATAACTAACTCACACCCTTTACCCCTCACACTCCTTTGACCCCACCTATATAACAAACTCTCCCCTCCAAATTCATTCTTCATACTCAACATGTATGACATTAAGGACTCACATCACCTGCTCTTGAACTCCTCTTGAAACATTCCATATTTTGGGTCCAATGACAATGGTCAATGACTCAGTATATTTCCTGCTTATTCTAATCTAAACCATGTTTACTATACCAATTCACAATTACCACAAATAAGTACAACTACTGCAGTCCGCAAGAGATGTAGCCACGGATGCATTATTTTTGGATACCAAGTTCCCACAACACCATGTTACAATCCCACAAAAGTTGAATCATAGAAAACCAACGCCTACTTGTTTCATTCCATCCAAACCAAATAACAAAGAGGAAGGGGAGAACATGGATAAAGGAAGGAGTAAATATCAGCTAAACTTAAAAGTTACGTATCTAAATCCAAAATCATCTAACAACACTGCAGCCTTTCAAAACATGCAATCTAAAACAATACAAGGAACAAAGAGTGTTGAAAATTCAAGTACCTCCTTTTTCTTACACTCCTTGTAAACATCAAAATGTTCTTGACATTTACTCTTATCTGTATTAAATTCTTCTAAACCTGCAAATGTCAAGGAAAAAAAATTTAAGATAGACTGATAATTGCCTGAAAAATAGTATAAGATCCAATATCAGTCCCAGGGCCTTCTCTTACTTCCTAAACAAACATTTAATTTGAAACTTTTAAGTCCTTATTCTTCAGTTTTTTTTCATAATTTTTCTTTACTTTTTCTGTTCTCCAAAGCATGGTTATCATGATATTCAAATCTTGAATCTAAAATCTATTTTCCAAATTGCGAAATGAATCTTAAGAATAGATACATTACAAATAAAACATTTTTAAGTAACAAAAGTGACAGGAAAGTTATACAACAACAACAATCAAGTCTTATCCCACTAAATAGAGTGAGCTACATCGATCAACTTCCGGCATAGTGTTCTATCCAGAACCATGTTTCTATCCAAATCGTTAATTTCGAGATCTTTCTTAATAATTTCTCTTATAGTTTTTCTAGATATTTCTCTACCTCTAACGATTTGACTCCTCTCCTCTCTATTTTTCACTATTATTTCTACTATAGATGCTACCCCAATACTCTCTAATACTATCGTCTATATTATAATTTTATCGTGTCTAATTTTACCACACATTCAACGCAACATCCTTATTCCTCCTACGCTTATTTCATTCTCGTGTTCGTATTAATTCTTAACTGTACAACATTCTCGTAACTAAAATCACCAAATTTCTACCCATTTGCAAATGGGTAACAATAATAACTAAATTACTTATACCTAAAAGTATTCAAATATTCATACTTCTAGGATCAATTCAAGTTCAACGAAAACGTGAGAGAGTGTAGAACATGTATTTAATTCATCAAAAAAGCAAAAGATTTAGTATTTAAGTGGTAAAAGAGGAAGAGTAATAAGGGTTTCTGACATTTGAGAGAGGCGGTGTATTGAGGAAAACATTGGGAATCGGAGATTCTGGCAGCACTTTGATACGGCGGTGTTGAATCTTTCGACGCCATGGTTGCTTTGAATTGAATTGAACTCGTTTCGCTTAAAGATTATTCGGTTGAACCATATGAGGTTGTCGATGTAAAGAGTAACTAAAAAGATTAAAGTATTATGGAACAAGTAATTTTAATTTGTAATTGATGATTTGTTGGGAGTCTTTATTTTTTTTAATAATTATTATATTATTATTTTCTGTTTCCTAACCTTTCATTACCCATCACACAATGCCCTATTCATCTTCTTTAAGTTTTGGTTCATCTTCTTTGAATAGCATAAAAAAATTATTTACTATAACAATAAGAAACAAACTCAAATTTGCAAAATACAATGTCAAAATCAGATATATATCTATATGCGACAATCAATTTCAAATGGATAATTCAGTATTTTAATATTTAGTTTACGTGACACTTTTATTTGTGTATATATAGTATTGTAGTTGTCAACAGTTGTATCTATTGAGTATTATAGTACAATGTGAGTGCAATTATTTTGCTATCACCGTTTTAGTAGAGTAGTGGAAGTTTGATAAAATTTGTTATTATGTCTCTTCTCTCTTTCTCCATCTTCATCTTTTTCACCTTGCACCAACAACTTGTATCTAGAGTTCCGATTCAGATCCACAAGGAAACACGAGTGAACGGTGAGGTGTTGTATGATTGATTTCGTTTCTTGAACTCGTGTTGAATTTCTTGATCGGAATCGTAACATAATCACATTTCTTGATTCTGCGGGATATGGAAACACTAGTATTTGGTGAGATTTTAGTGAACTGCAGAAGGTCAAAGATGAACGAAAACGGTAATCTGAGTACCAAGCTTCCAGTGTTCGATGGCAAGAATTGGAATCTGTCGATGATTCAGATGCGTGTGTTGTTTGGCGCTCAAGATGTTCTTGATCTCGTCAACGACAGTTACGTTCTGGTTGCACTTCTGGAAAAAGCAACGGATCTGCAGAGGAATGCTCAGCATGATCTGAGGAAGAAGGATCAAAATTTGTTATTCTACATCCATTAGTGTGTGGATGTGAACGTGTTTGAGAAGATCATTGATTCGACGATGCCGAATGTTGTGCGGTAAAGAAGGTGAAGCTTCAGTCTCTACGTAATCAGTATGAGAATCTAGCATGAAGAATAATGAGAAGGTATCTGACTACATCTCTATAGTGATTCTGGTCACAAATGAGATGAAGTCGTGTGGAGAAACTCTCTCTGATGAAAAGGTCATTGAGAAGGTACTTAGATCTCTTATTCCTCATTTTGATTACATTGTTGTATCAATTGAACATTCTAAGGATCTCAGCACCATAAAAATAGAAGAGTTGCAAAGCAGTCTAGAGGCACCAGAGTTACGTTTGATTGAAAGAACCTCTGAGAGAGAGGTAGAACAAGCTCTGAAAGCTTCTTTTGTCAAGAAGGATCAAAAATAGTCTTGGTCAGAGGCCAAGAAAAGACATGGTAGGTCTCAAAAGTCATAAACCTCAACTTCTGAAAGGCAGAAGATTGCTTAGAAGGAGAATGAGAAATATGACAATAGAAAGGTTCAGTGTTATTGTTGTAAGAAGTTTCGTCACTTCGCTGCTGACTATTGGTCAAACAAAGAAAGGAAGTCAGAATAAGTAAACGTAGCCAGAAGAGATTTTGATGATGAATCTGTGTTATTGGTGACATCTGAATTTAATGATACGTATTTGACAGACTGGTAGTATATGGACACTAGTTGCTCAAATCACCTTGCTGGAAATAAGAAATGGCTAGTTGAATTTGACTATAGTATGAGGACAAAGATCAGAGGTGCTAATGATAAATACCTCAACGCTAAAGGTATGGGAAATGTCAGAGTAGTTTTGAATCATGGTAAAATAGAATTGATTTAGAATGTGTGGTATGTGCCTGACATGAAAAGTAATCTGATGAGTGTAGGTCAATTAATTGAGAAAGGTTTTTCATTTACCATGAAGGACAATTTTTTAAAGCTGTATGATTGTAATCAGAAGCTGGTTATGAATTCAGAACAAGGTAATAATTGAACATTCAAAGTGAATGTTAAAATTGCAGACTCTGAATGTCTTAGTGCAACAAGTGTTGTGAAGGAAAGAGAGTTATGGTACAAAATATTTGGTCATTTGAACTTCATAAGCTTAGGGCATCTGAACTCGAAGAAGTTGGTACATGGAATTCCTGCAATTAAGAAGCAAGAAAAGTCATGTAATGTGTGCATGAGAGGGAAGCAACCAAAACTATCATTTGAACTAGAAGTAGCCCAAAGAGAAAAGCATGCTTTGGAAGTAGTGCATTCTGATGTGTGTGGATCATTTCCAGTACCATCACTTGAAGGGAATAAATACTTTGTATCATTTGTGGGTGAGTTCACAAGGATGACATGGGTAACCCTTATAAAGTTCAAACACAAGGTGTTTGCTGAATTTATGAAATTCAGAGTGAAGGATGAAAAATATAGTGGTCAGTGTTGCGGTGAGAATCATGATACCAAGTTATTGATTAACTTGAATCTTAATTCTTAAAATTCACAATCGGACTTTGATTTATCCAAAGAAAAGGTTAAATAAAGAAAGACCTTTTACGCGATGTAACAACAACGCTAAGAGATCGGGGATCGGGGGTTGGTTATGCCTAAGGTAGGTATTTTACATCCTAAACATCTGTAGTACTCTACAAGAGCCTTTTGTATGTTTGTATGCCATACTTGCTAAATGTTTGATATGGTTTGGGATAGGGTACAAGGTAAAGTTGAGGTAAAGACCTAAGGATAGTTTCTAAATTTGCTCGCAAAGATATCGCATCCTCTACCTACGTATCCTAACTAGGATAGAATCAGAGAAACCGTAGTTCACCTTACTAGGGATGAACAACTTGATTATGGTCAAGGTTCAAAGGGGGACAAACATAATAATGCTTGTGTAGAGTTTAAAAAAACTCTCTATGCTAAGTTGTACACTCAAGGGAATTTTACTTTTACAAAAGTCAAGAGGGGAGCAAGTAATTATCACCATAATTCTTACATAGAGTTAACATACTCCATTTTAAAGCTCTAGTTGAAGGGTACTTCTAACAAGGGGTAGGTCTTTTAGACTTAAAGCAAAGTCTAATGCATATAGGTTCTAACATAACTAAGTTCAAGATGACTTAACAAAGTCAAGAGGAGTGTTATGAGCTATCTATGACCTCAAGGGTCAATAGAGAGACTTTCCTTTGGAAGGGAAAAGAGGAGACAACTTGGATGAGAACTAAAGAGTTCCATCACTTGGGGAAAGTAACTTAACAAAGTATAAACATTCCAACATGATGAATACAAGAGATATGGTCACAACCTAGAACAAGCAGACATATAACAATATCAAGCCAGGATTTCAATCAAGGTCAATGATTACCACCAAAGTATACTTAAAGACAATTCAATACCTAAAGGTAAGTTCATGCAAGATTCAAATGAAAAGTAAAAACCAATGGCATGTCTTAAGATGGGGATATATCTTAACAAAGATGAAGGTTCAAAGGGGGACAAACATAATAATGCTTGTGTAGAGTTTAAAAAAACTCTCTATGCTAAGTTGTACACTCAAGGGAATTTTACTTTTACAAAAGTCAAGAGGGGAGCAATTAATTATCACCATAATTCTTACATAGAGTTAACATACTCCATTTTAAAGCTCTAGTTGAAGGGTACTTCTAACAAGGGGTAGGTCTTTTAGACTTAAAGCAAAGTCTAATGCATATAGGTTCTAACATAACTAAGTTCAAGGTGACTTAACAAAGTCAAGAGGAGTGTTATGAGCTATCTATGACCTCAAGGGTCAATAGAGAGACTTTCCTTTGGAAGGGAAAAGAGGAGACAACTTGGATGAGAACTAAAGAGTTCCATCACTTGGGGAAAGTAACTTAACAAAGTATAAACATTCCAACATGATGAATACAAGAGATATGGTCACAACCTAGAACAAGCAGACATATAACAATATCAAGCCAGGATTTCAATCAAGGTCAATGATTACCACCAAAGTATACTTAAAGACAATTCAATACCTAAAGGTAAGTTCATGCAAGATTCAAATGAAAAGTAAAAACCAATGGCATGTCTTAAGATGGGGATATATCTTAACAAAGATGAAGGTGTATCTTGACAAAGATGGTTTTTAAGGTTAAAGGATGTCATGTGTAACTACATGAGCAAACATCACACATTTGATGACAATCAACCATAGACAACCAAACAAAGTCACAACAAAGTAAGCAAAAGATTTAGAATTTCATGGGGATTCCAAAAGTTCAAGAAATGAAATACTTAAATGCCTCAAGAAACTTCAAGTACACAAGGAAGCTAACAAGCCAATCCTATATCAATTTCAACTTAAACTTAAAAGGGAGTGAAATCAAAAGTTTGAAATGAAGGATGAGAGATAGGAGGGTGAAAACCCTAAAATGAATTACAATTTTCTCACAATATAAAGTGTTTCTAAAATAGGAATTTTAGAATTCTTTAATCATTATGTGAAAATATACATTAATACAAGATTTTAGCAAAAATAATCATTAAATAATGATTAAAATTGAGAAAGTTATGCTACTTTGAAGATTTAATAAAAATTAAATAAACAAGGCATTAAAAGGATGGAAATGTCTCACCCAAGGCTTGAACTCAAGACCTTGGGGTCATAGACTCAAAATTTTGCCAATCCAACCATTTCACGCGTGTGACAACCAAATGGGAAAGGAAGAAGAAATAGCAAAAACATGAAAAAAAAAACATAAAAATACACAAAAAATGCCCTCGCTGAGGGTCGAGCTCGTGTCATTGGGCATGGCAAGTTCTTATGGCAAGGCAGTAACCACTAGGGTGGCGATACATCCGTTGTATCAAGCCACCCCAGCTGCATATATACCAAAACATGCGTATTTCTGGGCAACTCTCATGGCAAGCTCAAGTGAAAAAAACTCCAAAACGATTTCAATCTAATTCCTTCAATTCTCAACCAAAATTGATGAGATAAAAGT